CCCCTGAACTCCCAAAGCAGTCCATCCAGGCTGTCCTCCCAGCACACAACTCCACACCAAGGAGAAACTGCAGTCAAAATAGAGCAGGACGTGCACAGCAGACAAGGGAAGAGAAGGTCCAGATAAAAGTGGTGGAGGAAGGAGAGCTGGGGATCTCAGAAGGCACATGTGCACACACACACATGCACACACACATGCACGCACACACACGCACGCACACATGCACAGTGGGAATCAAAGAACCGTCAGGGGCCAGTGTTGAAGGAAGCCAAGTTCCTGGGTTCAGACTCTAATCCGCAACCACTTCATGACTTCAGACAAACCTTCGAGCATCGTCAGCCTCACAGATGGCCGTCCGTGGCATGGTCCAGGTGTAACTGTTCCCACGGTTGGCAAACCCAGAGGGAGGTTGTGAAAGATGTGCTTGGGCCTCTGGCAATACAACCTGTGGGCTGGGAGAGGAAATGGAGTGTGGCTGCCTCGGGGAGAGCTTTCCCAGCTGGGAAAAGTGATTTATTGGCAGAAAATTGTTTTCGGCACTTCTTGGCCCCAGGCCCCTTTAACACAGCTCAGCCTGTCAGTCTGCACTTTGCTCACTTGATAGTTACTGATGCCTCCTCGATCCGGTTGCCTCATTTTGGTCAAATCCCCCCACTTCCCTTGTTACCCGTGTTAAACAAAGGCCTGCAGCCAATCCCATGGCGATGGTTCCCTACCTGGAGCTTCAGGCATGACACCAAGGAGCAGGGGTTTCCGTTGTGTGTCCCACGTGCTGTCCCATCCCGTCCAGGGGGGTCATCGCGACCCCATCCCTACTTCATTCTCCCCGTTGAACTTTTCCCCAAATCCTGTCTACTCAGGAGCTCAAGGACTCCTCCTGGGCTGGTGTCCCGGCCTCAGAGCAGGTTTAGGAGGTTCTCCAGCAAACCAGTGTGCCAGGCACGATGGTGACAGTGCCAGGTGGTTCTGCGCCTGGCTTTTGACAAAGAAACAACCCCAACCTCCTCCCCACATCTCAGATGCTTCTCTGCCCCCCGCACCGATGGGCAGCTTTGGCTGGGCATCTCAGGAATAGATGATAAGAGGAGGCTGCCTGGGCCTCTCCAGGGTAAGAGCAATGAGAAAGTTACACCCGATGGGAACCGAGGGGCCAGGCATGGTGAGAATTTGCCCTGCAGCCAACTCTCCATAACTCAGGAGCTGCTGGTGTGTTGAATGGTTGACTCAGGCCTGCTGTCTCCATCGCTCCTCTTTCTGGCCCCTACTGTTGAAATTCCTGGGTCCTCTTCTCACGCTGTCTCAGTTAATCCTCCTCTGAGAAGCTCCGTTTGTAGGTCTGAGGGGTCGGCCAGTCCCTGGTGCAAGTGTCGTAACTTCACAAACCAGGGCTCCATTCCTACTGCAGGGGGCACTGAGGGGATGAGTGTGATGCCATCCTCTGCACCCATGGTTCTATCGAGACACTGCTCTCTGGGGAATAAATTTATAAATGATAGACTAAGAAAAAAATACCTAAAAGGTTTGAAAAGAAACCAAGGGTAAGATGATCTCCTTACTTGTAGTGGCCAGAAGAGTCTGCACATTGGTTCCACTTCTGTTTGCATCAAAATCTCAAACGATAACACTCATCCGTTTCTATGCTTCATTTTTTAAAAAATATGTTTTTATTGATTTCAGAGAGGAAAGGAGAGAGAGAGAGAGAGAGAAAGAGAGAGAGAGAGAGAGAGAAACATCAGTTATGAGAAAATCATTGATTGACTGCCTCCTACAGGCCCCACACTGAGGATCGAGCCCACAACCCAGGCATGTGCCCTGACCAGCAATCGAACCGTGACCTCCTGGTTCATAGGTCGACACTCAACCACTGAGCCACACCAGCCGGGCTGTGCGCAGTCTTTGCTCTTACTTGTTGTGTGTTCGTTTATTCATCTGCTTTAAACTAAAAGCGCAGGAGTCCCGGAGGGACGGGCTTCCTCAGGCACGGTGGGAATTAATGGGTAGGCTGTGTTTGAATTCGCCCTACTAATGGTGGTTGTCTGCATTCCTTGGCTGGGGAGTTACAGATTTGGGGAGATTAAAACACATTCCAGAATTCTCCCGGTATTGTAAACAATGAGAACATGCCTTTTCTTGCCACAAGAATCTGGAGAAGCAGAAGATGGCAGGCCTGGAGGCGCAGAAGCGGCCTCTGATGTTGGCAGCGTTGAATGGCCTCTCGGTGGCGCGGGTCTCGGGGCGGGAAGACGGCCGTGTTGATGGCACCCGGATTCTCATGGACGAGAGGGTAAGCCCTGGGCGTGTCAAGCATGTGATTCATTCCCCGTGCTCTTCGGATTCCTGAGCTCTCTCTGTGCCCGAACATGCCAGCACCGAGGTTTACGGGATGAATCAATTCTTCAGGTTGAGATTAGCAAGACGTAGTCTGACTGTGTTGTATTAAATGGGTCCCTACCAAGGACCTACTGTTCCTTTGTCGAGGTGGCATGGTGATGGCTGACCGAGAGACCGGCCCCTAAAGCCGCTTACGGGCCATCGGGCCTGGGTCAA